TGAAACGTGGATTTTCTATCTTGGAGTAATACGTAAGTTCTGCTATCCACGTACCGTGATTAAACGATACAAATGTAGTTAATTGTGCGTTTCTCTCTTTTATCTAGCTATGTTATCAGTAATCTCAAATTTTTATGTCTTACAAGACTTGGATTGTAATTTTCGAATGTGTATGAAAACTGCTAGTAAACAGGTTTTAAATTAGCAAAAATATTCTACTAGAAACATTCATAGTTCATAGTCAAATCGAAGGATGAAATATTTGAGTAATCGATAGCCGGTCCAACAAGCGGTTTTTGTGTATCGGAAAATTACAAAATTATCGTAAAATTGTCATATGCTATACGATGACTCGTAATTAGTATAGAGTGATTCTACGAGCAAAAATAAGTCAAAAAAAAAGAAAGAGTACGATTTTTTACCCAACGCTTCATTTTTGAGAAAAACAAATAAAGCTTTATCTAACACAGATATAAGTAAGGCTTGACTACTATATTATCTCGTACTAAAATAACATTGCTGTTAATACTTGTGTTTATAAATATTCCCAATATCATGGAAATTTGTTGAAATTTTTAAAATAATAAATCTTTCTGATTTAATATGGTTCGATAAATGAAAATACTAGATAGAAGTACTGAATAAAATTTTAAAGTTGATTTTTTTCAAAAAAGAAAAAAACATAAGATAAAAAAATTTTATTTTTCTTCGCAGAATCACTCTATATATATTCAATTATATCGCTAATTAATCGCCCTATCTATCGCGTATCATATAATTGATATAATAATTGATCTAAATCTAAAAAATTATGTTTCATTCAAAACCTATCTTTAATTAACAGCTGATAAGTAGCACGCGAGATAAACGTAATGTTAAAATCACAAATGGCAATTAACGTATAATGACTGAATATGTCAATAGACTATATAACTAGCCTACAATCAGAAAACCTACATCAACATGTTGAATGAAAATTTTTGTTTTTATTGATCATAAAATTAAAATAAAAATCTGTACGATTAGAATTTGTAAATAACAATTGTAAAAAATGATTAAAAAATATATAAAATCTATAATATATAAATATATAATTTCAAAGAAATTATTATAATCATTTTTTGGAGTAGATAATCGGGAGAGATAAAGAAATATAGTTTTAAATCAAAGTAGTACGTACAAGTGTTGATTTTTATTATTGTTGGATATATGTTCTTGATATTTTCCACTATCATTGCGTCACATGAAAAACGTATAATTTAATAAAAATCAAGGGAACATCTTTCAAATTTTAATTTTCGTCGAGTTGGATAAGAAAGAAAAACGAAAAAGAATTGATAATCTAATTTATTCACAGTAAAGAGCAAATACACAACAATAAGCATGAAAAGTTCGAGCTTCGTATGTAAATATGGAGTAATTGTCCCTTTTAGCATCCCAGAGAAATCCCATGGATGATTGTATAGATTGATTTGCTTTCTCTATGATAGTTACATTCACCACGATCTTGTATCTGGAAATAAATGTAAAATTAATTGAAATATACAATAATTCTTGAATTCATTAAGGTGAAATCAAGAGAAAGAAAGTAATTTACCTGTCGAAGTTCAAATTTTTAATTTTTTCTCTAATATCTGTAGCTACTGACTGGCAAACATTCAGACATTCCACAGCATCATAAGAGATATCTTCCAATTTAGTTATCATTATAGTTTTTATAATCTTATCTACTGGGTCTATTTTGAAAGGATTGTAAGGTTCCAGACGATAAGTATTCTGATATTTTAACGTCTGCAGAAATGAAGAAAGCCAAAACAAATGGAAGTATTACGGAAACTGATTATTTCTCTGTACGTATAACTATGAAAAAATGACGATGACCAAGAATTATTATTTAAAATTAAATTAATAATGATTATCTCACCTCACGTTCGTTATCATTCGTTAGATGATTATCCATATTTAATTGAGTAAGTATATTAATACAGTATATTAAAAATATAACTGCAATACCAAAGTCTATCTGATAATGAACAACTATGCTAATTCTTGATTAATTTTTCTTGGAAATACTCGAATCGCGGGTATCTACAGTATAATCTCGAGTAGTTACTTAGAAACCGAAGTAAACAGTGTTGATTGATCAATTTTATGCTAAAACAAAATCAATAAAGATAACGTTTGATGTTGAATATTTAAGAGGACACGAAAGAAATATTTTTCTCTTATATCGTGGACGCGACATTAATCTCATTAACTTTTTGCACGCAATATTTATTTAAAGATATATTTGTAAAAATTTCAGAGTTATCTATTCGTAATTAAATTCGAAAATTTATATTTTATGACCATTCCTGTCATAAGCGTAGAGAGCATTTAAATCAATATCGATTCATACGATACATCGAGCTGATTTCAATTATCGAACTGATTTGAATTATCGAAATATTGCGCGCTTCTGAGCAGAGAAAGATCAAGAAACCGCGTGTTTTGATTTCGTTTGTTCGTTCATTCAAGTGATGTAAATCGAATAATTAATACTATTTTGTGTAAAATATTGCTTCCTTCTATAAATATTTTTTGTATTTAAATGTATGATGTAAATTAAATAAGAAGATTCTATGGATTTTTTTGGAATGGTACAACTGAAGCCGATGGCCTATCAAGGTTAGTCGAATATATTCAAATTTTATATCTTTAGTGCATTAAAGTTTTGTATGCTTAAACAATTGATGTACAATTTCAAAAATTTACTTATTAATGACATTAATAACTTTGTTAATGTTACCTATTTTATTTCCACAGTGTAATAATTGAACAAGGACAAAAGAATAAAGTATATTTTCCAACAATAATTATAAAGTTATTTTGTCAAATTAAATAATTAATTTCATTTTGATATTATAGGATAATGAATATTACATATGTAATACATATGTAATACTTTTTTATCTTATAATAACATATGTAAATAATTACATCAATTTATTCAGTTAAGTAAAAAAGATTCTATGACAGACTGACAGTTCTACAGCTTCATTTTATATTGTGTCAATTTTATAACTATATGTAATTCAATATAACAATGTTTAAGATTTGTTCATTAACCGAATACATAATATCAAATTTCATAATATTAGTTATAAATATTGCCATTGAGACATAAATACATAATTTAAATGTTAAGAAATAAGCTTTTGTATTTCATTATTGAAACAAATATATATTAGAAATAAAAAAGTACAAACATAGGAACATTGAAACAAAATCATAATATACTAATAGCACAGAAAGATATACATTCATGTCTGAGATTTAGCATTGAAAATAAGAGTCTTATAATTTGTTTTAACATGAGAATTATCTTTGTTTAATAAAACAGAATAGATTAGATAGTTTTGGTGCTAAATATAAGACATGAATGTATTCCTTATTTAATAATATATTACACTTTTATGTGAATGACATTTGACATTCATCACTTTAAATGCTAATACACAAAATATAGGTTTGTACTACTTTACTCTACATAGAGATCAAAGTCTACTGACACATTAAAAGAATTCTGTGTCAATTGATACCTTACTTTCTCGTTTTTAATTAATTAAATAGTAAACATATTTGGTAACAAAAATCTCATAAAGATATATCTTTTCATGCATAAAATTCATTAATTATCCTAAGACAACAATTCAACTTCAGCTTGAATATTTTGCCGTGCTTGCTCTTCGTACTTTTCTCGAAATTCCTTCGTGGCAAAAATATTTGGAATCTGCACAAAGTTTTGCAGTACCTGATTCATATGAAAGAGAATAGTTAAGGAATAATATAGTAGGCAAAAATATATTTACATATGATTCATTCAGTAACAGTATTACCTTTAAACGTAATGCAGTGTACATTGGCTCACTAAGAAAAGAGTATTCTCCACGTATTTTTTCTCTATATTCTGCATAACTTTCTGGAGAAGAACCTAACACAGCCATGTCCAAATCTAAAAAGTAATGAGCATCTTCACCACCAAAGGCACCACCAATTTTATGTGCATCAGTACTATGTGTTGCAGCTACTTTCAGAAGTTCACAAGCTTCTTCTCTTAATTGTGCATCCTACGTGCATAAAAAACAATGTGAAAAAATCTATATTCCTCTACTGATGAGCATAACAATCTAATATTATAGAATGATAGTTACAGCAGGAATTTCAGCTTTATCTGCAAATGCATTAAAATGCTCTAAATTCTTATTTTCACCATCTAAAGCTTTGGGATCATATTCAAAGCTATAAAATGTAATTTAAGTTAGATGAGGCTGTTAAAGTTTAATATAAATTGTTAAAATTATAGTTGTCATTCATTTTATGTTGTTCTTTTGCTCGAGCCTTTACTTACTTCTGAAAAAACAAGGCAAGAAGCACAGCTTGAGGATTCTTCAAGTTATCCTGAATTTCATAATAACAATTCAATTTATCACAAAGAGAATCTAGATTATGATAAGTACGTTTTTCTTCTGAATATGCTTCTTGCAGTTTTGTGAACCATGTATCACAGACACTACTATCTAAACCATCGGTTGCTTCTTTCCAACTCTTTTCTATTGATGCCATTTCTCTCTGAAATCGTGCATAGATATTTTTAAGAACATTTTCACCCAAAAATTGCAGTTTATTATTTCATTAAATCTACAATTTTAATTTTTAAAAAGGTAAAAAGTTTTTATACACGTAAATGATAGAATTCTTATAAATTTTAGAAGTGAAATAAATTATCTTCGTTAATTTCACATACTCACGGCGTATTAAATGAGCTAAACAATGTGATAGTTCAACTTAGAGATGAAAAGTAAGAAATTGCGCTATGTTGAAATTCTGATTACCGAAACATAATGCGTCGCTGCAGGTGCTCGCTGACTGAGTGGATTCTACTTGATAAAATAAAGTCCGCTTCCATTTATTGATCGGATTGTGTTCGAGTTTTATCACCGAAATACAGCGTGATTTGCAATCATTATTGTTTCCTATAAAACAATTTATTTAACCGTTGTAGAATATTTAATATACTAAAATTTGATCAAGAAGATATAAAGGTACGATATTAGAATAAATATTAACTGATTATTAGAAAAATTATACATATATTTGCATTCAATTGTTCCGACTTTACGGCTAGTTGGTAACCCTTGTTGAGTATTTCAGAATTTCCTGTATAAAAAGTACATATTCGTGAATAATAGTTAAAAAATGTATTGAAAAATAATGTATTAAAATAATGTATTTTATTCTCACCTTGTATGCATTAAACTTTTATATATCTTATAAATTTAAAAAATTCTAATAATGACATGAAAAATAGACATCTGTGATTAAGTTTTGTTTGCTTAAAATTTACCGCCACCGCGTAGAGAAGATTACTCAATTTTATAAAATATGAAAATCTTTAATGTAATATAAAATAATTTTCTGCCCTTAAACGAAATTGTATTTGTAACAAGTTACAGGTTGTAATATTTTCATAATGAGGAAATGAGAACTGACAAAAATGTACTTGATAGAAAATTGTTGTATGTTTGGTTTTTTGTTGGTTTAACCTCAAAATTTTATAAAATAATAGAGAGATTGAACATATGGAGAGTAACGAGATGGATAAAAATATTATTACATTGTCATATATAGTTTTTATTGGACCTTTGTCCATTGCATTATTTTTGTATGGATTCTTTCCTTTGATGCACTGTGATAACACTATAGCAACACAAGATGATATACCAAAATTCATTGAAAATACAAGGTGAGTTTGATAAGTATGTACGAAAAAAAAAGGGATGATGAAAGAATGTATTTTATGTAATTTGCACATAAATTTTTTAGAGTAAAGGTAGATACATTGTATGAACCAATAGCTAAAAGATTAATCATTATGATCATTGATGCTTTGAGATGGGATTTTGTAAAAGGATCAATTGGAAAGATCGCAATGCCTATAACAAATAGTCTCATAGCAAATTCTTCTGCTTATTTGTTACAAACTAAAGTACAACCACCAACTGTTACAATGCCTAGAATAAAGGTGCCAGATATCAAGTAAAATTTTTTGTGAATCTTAATTTTCAATATATTATCGATTTTATATATAGAGATATATATAGAGAAAATATATAGATAGAGATAGTAGAAAATATATAAATATATATATATTCATATACTTTAGGCAATTACCACTGGTATGATACCAAGTTTTATTGATATAGCTTTAAATTTTGGAAGTAAACCAGTAACTGGTGACAGTTTGCTCTTCCAAGCAAAAAGAACTGGTTATAAATCAGTATTTTATGGAGATGATACTTGGATCACCTTGTTTCCCTCCATATTTGATCGTTATGATGGCACCACATCGTTCTTTGTAACAGATTTCACAGAGGTATTTTCTGTTTTTGTCCTCATTATATTTTTGAAGAAGAATGCCAGTTAGTTATATACAATGAATTTTTATAATCTAGGTTGATGATAATGTGACTAGACATATACATGAAGAGTTGTATAATAATAATGATTGGTCTATAATGATCCTTCATTATTTAGGACTTGATCATATTGGTCATGTTCATGGACCATTTAGTCCATTAATCAAAACCAAACTTAAAGAAATGGATAATGTGATAGCAAAAATTCAAATTAAAGTTCAGGAATGGGTAGGTGCAGTATAATATCTAAACTATTCCACGCTGAATCAAAATATATTATAAAATATCATTGCCTCAAAAATACAAAAATTACAATTCGTTTTATACATTTATAAATTTAGTATAAACTTATTATCTTCAGAATCAGAATAATGATTCTACTGTATTTATTATCTGTGGGGATCATGGGATGAAAGATTCTGGTGGTCATGGTGGTTCAACAGTATCAGAAACAACTGTACCCTTTGTTATAATTGGTACAGAAAATCATCAGAATTACGTTAAAGATCCTATAGAAATATCACAAATAGATATTGCATCTACATTGTCTGTTATTTTGGGAGTGCCAATACCATACTCTAATATAGGAACTATTTTCTTGGACACTTTATATGATTTACCCATTTCAAAGAAGTTATTTATACTTTATTACAATTCAAAACAAGTATTTAATCACTTTCAAAAGTTAGTTGGTTATGAATCTAAATGTGAGTGAATTGATTATATTTAATCACATGCAACTTTTCAAATAATATTGTGCGTCTACTTATTATTACAGATGCATATCAGAAATATTTGGAAGCAATAAAGCTTCACAATGCATGGTTAAATACCAAAGATCATCCAGATGACATGACAGATGATATTGTACTTTCTTATAAGACTGCATTGAAAGGAATGAAAGAAATTCTCATGAGTAGCATAGTAAAATATGATTTTCAAATAATAACAATAGCCATAATTTTCCTATGTCAAGTGAGAATCAAAAAGATAGTTTAATTCTTAGTTATACTAATGCTTTTATATAACAAGTTAAAAATTATTTCAGATTATTTGTATTTTAGCAGAAGAAATGTCTTTTAAATCAGCATCATTAAAAGATGTTGTATTTTTCATTTCCTTAAATGCGCTTTTATGGCTAATAGTCAATTGTTTTTGGAAAGATGAAAACACAGCATTACTTCATACAAGTAATTTAATAATAACATTATGCATAATAATTGTTTTAATAATAAATTCCTACTTGCTTGCTAATGTTAGAAGTTTTAGCATTTTTAAATTTAAGGTAAAAGAAATGATATAAAACCAAATAATTAAAAATTTTACTTCCTATTGTAAGATAGTATCTTTTTTAAAAATTAGATAATTGCAAATGGGATAGGAGAGTGGCTTCTTTCATTTGGAACATTAATACACGCAATTAGCTTTATTGGTACTAGTTTTGTTGAGGAAGAACATCAGACTTGGTATTTCTATTGGGTTACAGTCCTCATACTGCTACTCTACAATTTTCTAAGCAAATGTTTTGCGGGAGAATTCTCACAATCGTAAGATAATTTTTTTTCCACCATAGAGAACTAAATTATTTAGTATATTAAGTTCTAAGCATTATGTTTCAGCCACTATCAACGAACTTTATATGCACAAATTAGTATTAAGCTTTTCTTACTATTAATAGGACACAGAATTCTTAGAAAATTAAATAGTACTGGAGATAAGTATGCTCATCTTCCTGATATAGCAGGATTTTTAATAAAACAAGAAAACAAATTGGGCATGACGATCGTACTCATCGCTGGTAATTCAATTACTGATTACCATTCAAATGATTATCGAAATTAGAAAATATTCTAAAGTCTTCGTAATCATTTTCTCAGGTCTTGCACTCTTGATATGGATCGATTTCATTCACGAAAATAAAACGCACAAAAAGCTATCGTTAGTGCTGAATTTTATAATTAGTGTATGCATTTATCTTCGTCATATGCATAACAATAGGGTTGCCAAAATACCATTTTATCCTCAAACTAGGTAAGCTTATTGATCACATTGAAAATTCAGACATAGTTTGAAATATGATTGTTTGTTACAGGGGAATATTTGAAGTACAAATTTTCTGGTTTTTACTCGTAATAAACTTGATGAAGTATATTTATAATCTTATCTGTATGAGAAAACGCTATGCTAGACTTTTACCAAAAATTTCGTTGTACTTTATTCTACAAATGTGGATTATGATCGCAGCGATGCTCCATCAACCACACAGCGTGATACTCTTACCCTTCCAAATAATCTTTAGCACCGTGATTTACGAGATAATTAAAAACGATATTACGCAAAATATTTGGGTGTTATTATATACCTGGATTGGCAATGTGTTTTATTTCTATCAGGTATAATGATCTAACATCGAACAATTTTTCTACAAATTTTGAACAAAACAATTTTCTACAGGGAAATTCTAACAGTTTGGCAACTGTTGATGTAGCTGCGGGTTACGTTGGTGTACAATCATATATGCCATTTATTAATGGTTCATTATTAATAATTAACACCTACGCAGCACCGCTTCTGTCCTACTTTTTACTTATTTACCATGCAATCTTACAGCATTCATACGAGTAAGTAGTTTTGATTTAATATTTCAAATAATAAAGTACTAACATGTGGTAAAGTTATATGTACTCTTTTAGCACTTGTGAAACAATTGTACGAATTAGTAAAATATATATTACGTGGAGGTTGTTGCCAGTAGCTATTTATACAATTATAATCAGTATTCAGCGTCATCATTTATTCGTCTGGTCAGTATTCTCGCCGAAATTATTATACGAAGCTGTACACACTACTGTTATTTGTTCCGCCGTATTTATCATGCTGATCTTGGCCACAATACAAAAGACAATAAATAATTGTAAAAGATGATCTTATTTGGATTTTATTTATCCATTAAAAAAAGGAAAGGGATTGTATTAAATTTAAAGAAGAAATTTATTTTAATTTTAATCAATTATTTTACAATCATTGTACTTGTATTTAACAAAATTTTCTCGATTGATTTTATAAAAATCAAAGATATAAAAGTCTCTAATAATATACATAAACTAGAAATTTTTTTTACAATTGAAATTGTCTTATCGATCTAATGAAGCTCGAGTTTTGAATGAATTGTACATATTTTAATTTCACTAATAAATAGCAACATGTAATGTATCGATAGGATGTAAAATAATACGATACGGTTATTTTTTTTTTTTTTTTTTTTTTTTTTTTTAGAACAAGTTACGATATATCGAAATATTACAATATTTTTCTCTAAAATGGTCACCGACTTTGAACATTAACTTGTCATTTCTTTCTACCATCTAATTCCAAAGTATAATAATCACGTTTTGAAAACATTCACACGCAAGATAATGCTTGCAAATAATATAATTGATCATGCAAAACAGACACGCTAAGAAATTCAGCTAGAAAGTCAGTATTCGTCTATCGCTAAAAAATAAATTATTTTCTATAGGAACACAACGATAGATCTATACATATTTGCTACAAATAATACTAAGATTGTTAAATCTAGATAGCAACAGTATTTCATTTCATCATTTTATGTGGCATGCTTTTTTATGCTTGTGTTGTCATTGAAACGAAAAGATCGTAAGATCAAATGAATTATTTTGATTTCGTTTTGTCTCGAATTTTCGAATCGAGCGATTGATAATTTTTATTTCACAAACGATGGATCTCATCTCTAAAAAAAAAAA